AGCAAATGAAGGATCTTCAAAAAGTACATGAAAAAGAGTATATTCTGAAAAAAAAGGGCATGGTTTCAAAATCCTTTGTGCCAAAATAAACCTATGTTTTAATTCCATTTTTAAAAACCTTTTTGAAGAATTCATATGCATGTCAATATACATTACATGCGATGGATATAATATATATGATGTGCTTACTGTGTACTATAAGGGAACATGGTTATACTTCAGTGTTAAGCTAAGATTGAGTCTATATACTCATATGGTAGTCTACCAAACAAATGGTTCCATGACCACATTTCATGTTTGTATTTTCTTCCCTTTCCAAATTTCATTTTTACAAGTGGGAAAACAAGAATCACTTTATCCAAAGAAATAGGATATTCCTTGTTCTTTGTAAACAATTGTCTGAGGAGTGGAAAGGATCTAAAGGCTAAGGAATAAGGTGATTCCATCTGGCAGGCCAGGACTGACCTGAGAGGCACCTGATGAGGCTTTGTCACTGCTGCTCTGTCCTATTACTGAGCTCAGGGCACACCCGGGCCCTTCATGCCTCCAGGGTGGCACACTTCAGTTCCCCCATTTTGCGGCTGGTAGAACTCATCAGCAACCTGGAAAAGAGTCAGGCTTTCCCTTAATGGGTCTAAGGGACTGGCCCCATGTGTACTGAACAGCTAAAACCCTAGGCATCCCAGAAATGATCAAGGGTCTTGGGGCCTAAACTGGGTTAAAGTTGCTCCAGTGGCCCTTGTGGTTCAGTGGGTTAAGCTTCCACTTGGGACACACACACATTCCTATTTCTACAGGACTGGTTCAAGTCCTGGTTCTTGTGGGCTTCCAGTCCAGCTTCCTGCTAATGCACCTGGGAGGTGGTGGATGATGGCTCAAGTCCTGGGGTTCCTGCTGCCCACAGCAGAAAAGCACACTGAGCTCCTAGTTTGTACCTTTTGGCTTCAGCCCGGCTTACCCCAGTAGCTGCTGGCATCCAGAAGTGAACCAAAGATGGAAGATCTTTGCTTCTCACTTTCTTTGCCACTTTGAAATAAATATTTTTTTGAAGTGCTCTACTCACTGCTATAAAACTGTGCCCTAATCTCTGCCTACTGCTCCCTCTCCCTCCACTGCAGGAGCTTGAACTGAGGCCGAGCTCTGAGACTTCGGTTCTGCAGTGCCCTTGCATCATGAAAAAAGAATAGTTTTGGAGCATAAGAACTCCAGGATTGAGGCAAGCACGGTGGCTCACCCAGGTTATCATCAACCCACAGCACTGGCATTCCATACGAATACAGGTTCAAGCTCCAGCTACTCCATTTCCAATCCAGCTCCCTGCTTATGGCTTGGGAAAGCAGCAGAGGATGGCTCAAGTCCTTGGCCTTTCTCTTGGAGACCCAGAGGAAGCTCCTGGCTTCATATTAGCTCAGCTCTGATAATTGACAGAAGATCTCTCTCTCTGACTCTCCCTCTCTTTAAATCTACCTTTCTAATAAAAATAAATAAATCTTTAAAAGGGGGGGGGGATCAGTGTGGTAGCCTAGTGACTAAAGCCCTTGCCTTGCATGTGCCAGGAACCCAATATAGGCACTGGTTCATGTCCTGGCTGCTCCCTGCCTGTGGCCTGGGAAAGCAGTAGAAAATGGCCCAAAGCTTTGGGACCCTGCACCCACGGAAGAAGCTCCTGGCTGCTGGCTTCAGATTGGCTCAGCTCTGTCCATTGTGGCCACTTGGGGAGTGAACCAGTGGATAGATGATCCTTCTCTTTGTATCTCCTTTTCTCTGTATGTATATGACCTTCCAACAAAAATAAATAAATAGGCCCCAGTGGCATGGCCAAAGTCCTCGCCTCGAACACGCCAGGATCCCATATGAGCGCCGGTTCTAATCCCGGCAGCTCCACTTGCCATCCAGCTGTCTGCTTGTGGCCTGGGATAGCAGTTGAGGATGGCCCAAAGCCTTGGGACCCTGTAGCCTCATGGGAGACCTGGAATGAAGTTCCTGGATCCTGGCTTCGGATCGGCGCAGCACTGGCCGTGGTGGTCACTTGGGGAGTGAATCATCGGACGGAAGATCTTCCCCTCTGTCTCTCCTCCTCTCTGCTTATCAGATTTTGTAATAAAAATCAATAAATCTAAAATAAATAAATAAATAAATTGTAAAAAACACCCTAGAGGTTCAAATTTTAGCTGTGAGGCTACAGGCGTATGATATCACTTCTAATGTTGAAAGCTGGGATTTGTCAAATGAGAATAATAGCTGCTACCATCGGAGTGGCATTGTGGGGATTTTATTAATTGTGTCAAGCACCTGGCAGAGATGAAAGATGCGGTGCTTGTTAACCTGCATCTGCTTCTGCCAGAATGCACACTGACCACTGCTGCCAAGTCAGCCTGGCAGAGGAGAGTCTCAGTGAGGAGCTGGGAGGGAGGTGACACTGCGCCAGCCTTTCTGGTTTGATGCTGCTCAGGTCTTCACTGGATTTGTATTTGACACTAAGGAATGGCAAGGAAAATGGCAGAGATCATAAATGGCTACCAAGGAGAATCGGAATCTTCCAGTTTTCTCTCAGAGAAAAGCAGATTGAAAGTGAACTGAACATGGGACACCAGGCAAGACAGTGACCCTAATTGCTGAGGTCAAGAGAAAAAGGAGGTGATGGTGGTAGTTGAATTTGCAGTAAAGAGGAGCGGAGGAAGACAGAATCCAACTCTAAAAGAGTATATCAGATGATCCAGCAAGGCCACTAGATCATCTTTTCCAAGGCTCCCTAAATCAGAACACCCCTGATTGGTCTGGACTTGCCAGAAGGGTCTGCCCTAGAACGGGATGGGAAGCAGAGATAAAACACCACTGGTTGCATCTTGGAAACACTTCAGGGGAAGGCAGTAGCACTAATCTATGACTAGGAAACAAGGGAACCAAATGCTAAGGGAGGGCGTAGGGGTAGGGAGACAGCGAGGAGCTTCAACCAGGAGTGGAGGCCATCCCGCCACTCCACGCCACCAGGAAGTTGAGGGGAGCCATTCAAAATTTCCTCCTGTGAGCCCCATCTCCTTTCCAGCAGCCAGGACTGCAACTGAACCCTCCTGCTTGCCCCTTCTAGTCTTCTTTGTGGCGACAAAACTAATCCAGTCTGGGAAAAGCTACCTCAGCCCAAACCCAGGGATGTCGGATGGCTGAGCCCGGTGCAGACCCAAGGTGTCTGCACCTGCGCATGGGAAAGTCAGACCCAGGGCAGGCCACCGTGCATGCATGCCTGTGTGTGTGTGTGTGGGGGGGGGGGGGGCGAGGAATCCTGGCTTCTCAGCCAGCAGCAAGTTAACAGCTCTCAGCTTCAACGTCTTCCTGTGTAAAATGGGGATCTTGATAGCCCATGCAACTGTTCTAAGTATAAATTGGACAAAGTGAGTGGGACTCTAAGTATCATAGTATCTAAAAGCCGCCTCAGGCCAAATGCATAAGTACTAATACAGTGGCACCTGTTAATACCGGAACAATGAGTTTTCCCAGCCTCATGATTTCTCACCCTTTTGCTCCTGACTTTACTGCATATGTAGAATCCGTTTCAACCAAAGTGGATGGTGTGCTGTGGTGATGGTGATGGTTTTTGTCTGCTGTCTTTTTCTTGTTTGGGTCGATTGGATCCTAATTCGCTCAGCGTTCTTGATTGTCCTGAATTAGGATTTTTCTTTATCGAAATGAATAACCCATGGTTTCTTCTCTGACTGCCTCTCCATATCCTCTACCTTAGCTTTTTTACCTGGGAATATTCCCTCTAAGAGTGATTATTTGGCACTTAGGGTGCCGGTGGTTTTGCGTCACTTTGACTTTCTTAGCAAGCTCGGCTAAGTGGGGAGATCTGGACTGTTCCCATGTCAATGGGTTGTCCCCGCGGCTCCTCCGCGTTCCGTGGATATTCCCCGCATTGATTAGCCCTGCTGGCTTGCCTCTTGGCCTGGTCTTGCCTGTGCAACTTCTTCCCTCTGGTTTCCATGCCCATTGCCCACTCAGATCCCCTGTCTGACTCTTAGGAAGGTTGCTCCCCCGTTTCACACCGCGCGGGCCGTGGGATGCGAAACGGGCTGACACGGAACTGAGCCCCGCCAAGCTGAGGGCACGTCGCCCTGCTCGCAGGGTGGGGCACCAGGTTACCAGCGGCCTCCTGCCTTTTGGGCTTGCTTTCCCGCAGGGGACACCGTGGGCGGCTGTGCGGTCCAGCCACTGTTCTCCGCCCCCCAACCCTCTCCATGCGTCCGGCCGCGCCGTGGGTTGCGGTCTCTGTGGGGGTGGCAGCTCCTGTCCAGGAGGTTTGCGCCTGACGGGACACCCCGGAGCCACGAGAAGCGGGGAGGTGGGGGTGAAGCTCGTCCGATCTGGGAGGGAGACCTCAAGCAGCACGTGGGGCGCAGAGGGCAGCGGGCGGGCGGATGCGCCGCTGAGACGCGAGCTGGACCAGCGGCGGGGCCGCCCGCCCGAGGGGGAGGAGGCTGGGCTGCCCTTGCCGCAGGTTCGCTGTCGAGCGCACAGGAGGCAGGGACATGGGTAGGGTGCGGTCTGCGCGGGGCTGGAGCCCGGATCTCTTCCATTTCCCCTCTCACTCGGCCCCGAGCTGCGCCACGGACGGCAGCAGCTCCTGCTCCGCCCGAGCCGCCTAACCGCCGGGCCGGGGTGCTAACCGCGGAGCCCTCCAGCCCGCCGGCCCGGCCAGCCCTGCCCAGCCCGGCGGCCCGCAGCCCCGCCGCCCGCCGCCCCCCGCCGCTGCCGCGTTGCCAAAACAAACGGGCCGGCCTATTTATTGGCGGCCGGCGAGCCGGGCAGCTCAGAGTCGAGGCGCCGAGGGGGACAGCGCACCGCCACCAGCCAGGGCCCCGGGCCCCTGCCGCGCACCTGAGTCCTACCGGCCGTGCGCCGCGCCCCGCCGCCCATGGCGCCCCAGCCAGGAGCCCTCCGGAGCCACCCGGACGTCTGAGTAACCCCCCAGCCGAGCGCGCCCGTCGACCCGCCTACCCATTAGCCCTCCTAGGCGCCCTCGCCCCCCGTCGCTTTCCCGGGCTCTTCCTGGCCATGTCTCCCGCCCGGCTCCGGCCCCGATTGTGGTTCTGCCTGCTCCTGCTGCTGCTGCTGGTGCCGGCGGCGCGGGGCTGCGGGCCGGGCCGGGTGGTGGGTAGCCGCCGGCGGCCGCCGCGCAAACTCGTGCCGCTCGCTTACAAGCAGTTCAGCCCCAACGTGCCTGAGAAGACGCTGGGCGCCAGCGGGCGCTATGAAGGCAAGATCGCGCGCAGCTCGGAGCGCTTCAAGGAGCTCACTCCCAATTACAACCCCGACATCATCTTCAAAGACGAGGAAAACACCGGCGCCGACCGCCTCATGACCCAGGTGAGCGCGATCCGCCCTACCGGCGCGCCGCCGCCGGAGCACCGCCACCTGCCCAGCCCTACCCGCCCCCTGGCACCTTCTCTCTGCTACCAGGCACGCCCCCTGGCACCTGCCCCCTCTCGCCAAGCCCGGCCACCTCCTGTCCGAGACACTTCGGAAAGCCGGGCCAGGCCAGGGGTCCGGGCGGGAAGGTCGGGCATCCCTGAGTCGGCCTGAGTGCGTGAGAAGAGAGGCAGCAGCTCAGCGAGTTGGCGGCCGCACCTCGGCCCCAGAGTGCTGGCGGCTCAGGCCAGACGCTGCGCCCGGAGCTACCTCGACCCGGCTGACACCTATGCCCCCGGAGCCCAAAGTTGGCGCTCCCAGTTTAACCCTCCTCGAGGCTGCGTCCCTTTCACATCGAAGCCCTAGGCACCCTGGAGGTCGAGCGGCCCCCGCGCGCGCTGTTGATCCTGCCTGGGACTGGGATTAGGGAATAGTCGAGAACTGAGCCAGAGGCGGAGGTGGAGAGGAAACCCCGCCGGGCGAGCCCACGTGTCTGTCCCCAGGCAGAGCGGCGCGGTTGCGGTTGAAGGGTGGGGCTTTGAGACCAAACCTGGGGCACCCCTGGGCTTAGCGATGGGTCCGGGAAGCACTGAAAGAGGTGGCGAGAAAGGCAGTAAGCAGAGCCGCGATTCTGGGCCCTGCGCTCTGGGTGGGCAGGACTCAGCGCTGCGCCAGTCGCAGGGACACACACTCGCTTCCCGCAACGCGGTGCGCGACCAGAGAGACCTGCACGGATTCCTTCGTCCGGGGCCTCCCGCGGCTCTCTAAGGTCCCTTCGGAAGAGCGGCTAGATCACGACCTTCAGCATGCGCCCTGGCGCCGGGGCTGGCCGGGCGGCTGGTGTCTCGGGGCCGAAGGTTGGCTGGTGGCCGGGCCGGGCCGGGCGCCTAGGAATGCAGATAAGGATCCGGGCCACGGGCTGGGCAATCATTGACAGCGAGTGAGCGCCCAGGCTGTGGACCCGGGGAGGGTAGCGGTGGGGGAAATGGGGTGGAGAGCAGGGCAGACGGAGGTGGGGGCTGCAAGCCGCGCCACCAAGCCGCGGAAGGAGCACGCGGATCTCCCTCCCTGGGCCAGGAGCTCTCCTGGTCAGGCCATGGGGCCTGCCTGGGGGAGGACCTACCAGCTTCGGGTGGAAGCCGCTGTGGACTCCCGGGAAGTCGAGTCCAAGGGTCTTGTGGGGCCCGCGCTGCACGGGCGTGGGGGTGAGACAAGGGCTACGCACATTTGGCGGGGGCCTTCGTGGAGGATGCATGAGATCCCCTGCTGACCCAAACCATAGCCTCTGCGTGCCTCTTTTTGCAGTTAGCTGCATGGTCCCTTAGTTACTCGGACCCAGGCGACACGAGGTGGCAGTGACGCGGGTCCTCTCTGTGGTCTTTCCCTTTGCCGTTATCTCTAATGCCACTCCCAGTGAGGAAGATCCTGGAGACCTGAGGGATACTCGGTTTACCGAGTCAGGGCGCTCTCCTACTGGCGCTGCGCACTAGCAGAGAGGGACATTAAGAGCGGGCCACCCCCACCCCAAGAAACACACCTTGGAGAGAGCCCAGGCACTAGCCGACAGGCTTCTGTGCATCTTGCTTGGTGCGAGTGCTGGTGCAGGCGAGCTTGGGATCATGAGATAGTCCCAGCAGAAATGCTCCCCAATGCATCCAGAGACCCACGCAGGCGCAGGTCGCTGCCCCCCTCCAACACGTGCTCGCCGGTCGCCCAGGCGCCCTGCACCTGCCGTGCCTCCGGGGTCCACGGCCCTCCGGCCTCAGCCCTGAGGCTGCGGTGACACCTACTGGGCACCGTGGGCTTTGCACGCCTCTCAGGCAGCCGCAGGCGTTTGGCCGGGCAACCACGGCTTCACGCCCAGTCTCTGGGCAGTCTTGATTCCTGGCAAGGCTCAAGGACCAAGCCCCGGGAGGGTTAGCCTCACTGTGAGATGGAGTGGCCGATACATGGAGGGAGAGATAGAAGGCATGGGATGGAAAGGATGTTCCACCTAATAGAGAAGGCTCTCCTGAGGTCACACTATGCACGCGCTGCGCGCAGCACCACTGTGCATGGCGGGTCAGGAGGCATGGAGGCGCCTGGATGCTAGAACGGGAGCAGGTTAAGAACCCCTAAGTTCCTAAGGAGACGGGTACCCCTCTCTCATGGCAATACGTGCGGATGGGGAGTGCGAAGCTCAGTCGGTCCCTTCCCTTAACTTGGCCCTGGTCCTTCCCGCAGCGCTGCAAGGACCGCCTGAATTCACTGGCCATCTCCGTGATGAACCAGTGGCCTGGCGTGAAGCTGCGGGTGACAGAAGGCTGGGACGAGGATGGCCATCACTCGGAGGAGTCATTGCATTACGAGGGCCGCGCCGTGGACATCACCACGTCGGACCGCGACCGCAATAAGTACGGACTGCTTGCGCGCTTGGCGGTGGAGGCCGGCTTCGATTGGGTGTATTACGAATCCAAGGCCCACGTGCATTGCTCGGTCAAGTCCGGTGAGCTGCCGCCAGGGGGCTGGACCCGGGGTCGGGGCCGCAGGGCGTGGGCAGGCAGCGCAGCACCCGCGGGGGGCCGGAACGTGAAGAGGCCTGCCGGGAGAAGGAGGAGGGGACCTGGGGGAAGAGGACACCGGAGGCGGCGCTCCCTGAGGCTGCTAGTGACCGCCTGCTCCTCCTGGTAGTGTCAGGGAGGGAGCCTAGGGAGACAGGGCCCTGAGCCAGTGCCAATAGCGGTCTTCGGTCCTGAGCCTGCCGCAGCAGGTACACCACAGAGCAAGCTGGAGATGGATGGAAGAAGCGAGGCTAAACAGACACCACAACCTCTCCCCCCTCCCCCAGCCCGCAGCCGGGTGCAGGACAAGGCTGGGGGTGGGATCAGGGGCCAGAAGCCTAGAGATTCAGAGCACACTACCCAGCTGCAGGTCAGAGGGGGCGCAGGCGTCCCCAAATATCTTCACCAGAGCCCCCAAAGCTGGACATTCTGGGGCAAAGCCAGCCACGCGAGCCAGAACAAAAGTGGACTCAATAAAGTGGATTTTTTTTCTAGATTGGCCGCCTTGTTGATCAGAGTTGGCAGGTGCTTGGGGACCTCGCCTCCTCCCTCTTACCCTGAGCCCAGCTGTGGGTGTCTCAGCGTGGAGCACAAATTGCACCCACAGATGGGGCACACAGAGAGCTGGAATGCCCGGTTCTCGCTGGTCTTCCAGTGGTGGTCCCACACCAGCTCACAGCCTCAGTTCTGCTCAGCACCCACTATGTTTATGTCAAGTCACACGACCCTTGACCCTGGCCCCTGCCCACACCCTGGGTAGCCAGTGCTGACCCACAAGCACTGTTCTCCAGCTGCCACTAATGCCACTGTGTCCTGTCTTGCATAAGACCCTGCATGGGAACCAAAAGATGACAATTGTGTCCTTGGCCCAACCTGCCCCTGCCTGTCACTCTGAATGGTCCCTGAGCTGGCCCCACCCTCCCTCCTGTAGATTGAGGGGTCTGCTCTTCCACACAACTTAGGGTGCCAGCCTAAGGATGATTTGCATCTGAGCAAAGGCTGGGAAATGTCAGGACATAGCCCCCCCCCCCCCCAGGCACTGAGGGACATGTCCTGGTGCAGGTGTCAGGTGACCAGGACCTGATTGCACTAGCCTTGGACCTCCTTCAGGATGGGAACGGCTCCTGACACCAGGAGTCTCCTGGGTTCAAGAGGGCACTTCTGCTCTCACCCTCTGGGTCTCAAGCCCAAGTTTGTCCTCTCATTGGCAAAGGGTTAGGCTAGTGAAGAGGCGGGCAGAAGTCACAGGGCAGGTTGGGGTTTGGAGCCTTCTTAACAAGTGAGAGGAAGGGGCTACAATACAGAAAGGGCTGGGCATTCTCCAGGAGCAGAGGTGCATGTGGTTGGCTGGGGTGTCTGGGACAGAGGTACTGAGCCTGGAGGTGGTACTGAGCCCCCCATCAGTAACTCCATTATGTCCCTTCTTCCTGCAGAGCACTCAGCAGCTGCCAAAACCGGTGGCTGCTTCCCAGCTGGAGCACAAGTGCGCCTAGAGAGTGGGGCTCGTGTGGCCTTGTCTGCCGTGAGGCCCGGGGACCGGGTACTAGCCATGGGGGAGGATGGAAATCCCACCTTCAGCGATGTGCTCATCTTCCTGGACCGTGAGCCAGACAGGCTGAGGGCCTTCCAGGTCATCGAGACCCAGGACCCTCCACGGCGCCTGGAGCTCACCCCTGCGCATCTGCTCTTCACTGCTGACAATCACACAGAGACGGCAGCCCAATTCCGGGCCACGTTTGCCAGCCACGTGCAACCTGGCCAGTACGTGCTGGTGGCCGGAGTGCCCGGCCTGCAGCCTGCCAAGGTGGCCTCCGTCTCCACACACGTGGCCCTCGGGGCTTATGCCCCGCTCACGAGGCATGGGACACTAGTGGTAGAAGACGTGGTGGCTTCCTGCTTCGCAGCTGTGGCAGACCACCGCTTGGCTCAGCTGGCCTTCTGGCCCCTGCGACTGTTCCACAGCTTGGCATGGGGGAGCTGGACCTTGGGGGAGGGTGTGCACTGGTATCCTCAGCTGCTCTACCGCCTGGGGCGCCTCCTGCTGGAAGAAGGCAGCTTCCACCCACTGGGCATGTCCGGGGCTGGGAGTTGAAAGGACCCCAGTCCTCCACTCTGGAACTGCAGTGCTGGGTGCAAAGACCTTCCTTGCCAGGGGAGCCCTGGCTCTAAAAGAGACCCCGCTGGGGGCACTGGTCTCTGCCACCTCCTGCCTCATTGAGACTGGACACTGCCAGTATCCCTGCCGGCCCCGCCCCCCCAGGGTGCAGCCATGGAGCTGGTATAGGGTGGAGGAGGGGTCTGCCTAGTATATACACCTGGAGGCTGGCACAGGGGTTCACTCAGCCACCAGTTCTTGTTCTGGTTTTCTATACCCCACCTCCCTCTGTGGGAAGGACGACATCATATATGTGTTGGGGACTGTTCTCTCTGGTCTCCCTTGGGGACTAGCGTCTGCCTCTTCACTATTGGTGATGGACCGCACGCAGAAGGAAGAGGTGCTGCCCTCCTGTGGGCTTGCCCCTCACTTGTTGCTGCTAGATGCCCTGGGACCCAGCAGGGAGCTATCTGGACTCACAGCCATCCAGAACCAAGGTGGCCCACAGAGGGCAGGCAGTCCTCCTGGCCATCATCAGGATGGGGCATGGCCTTCCTGCCTGGCTACACTCCTCCCAGCACCACCTGAGACAGTCTCTGGCAGTGTGCTGTGTTCCGGCCAACATGACCAAAGTGGCTGCAGAAGGGGCTGGGGGCTGCACCCCCTCCCAGGCTAAGCTCCCTCTTCTGCTGAACCATGCTCCTCACCCCCACCTCCAGCCAGTCTCCCCCCCTCACCTTATTTATTGGCATGGAGGGAGGAAGCCCATGGGGAAAACTTGGGGGAAGATGTATTGGCCTTTTCTTTGTTTTCTTCCTTTTGTAATAAAAGTTATTTAAGTTGGTAGAGCCACAGAGTGCAGGATGCTGGGACAGGGATAGAGGCCCGGGGCCCAGTTCCCTTCATGATGAGGCTCTGCCCACCTTCCTCCTAACACAAACCTCAGAACTCCCACCTTGTCTATGGGTCGCTTTCCGCTCAGGAGCCCTACAAAGTCTACAAAGAAAGCTGTGCTCTGCACTGGCCAGGCCTTTCGCTTGCTGACTTTAAGGTTTGCCTTGACTCAGTTCTTAGAGAATGGAGGTGACTAACCTATGTTCATTTTGTTGATCTGGAAGCATCTCCACTGTGCCTTGTGCCAGGGACTTTCCTTGTTGACTCTGGGTGCTCTCTCAGAGCCTGAGTTGCTGGCTCTCACTGCTGGTCAGGGCCTACAGTAGGAAAAGCTTCTGTAGAATGTATATGGGTCTTGTAGCCCATTCTGACTTCTTGGACAAATCTCAGAGGTCCCTAACCTTACAGCCCTCAAACTTGCACACCATCTGGGAACTGGCTGACAGGTGTTGCCTGAGCCTACTTGCAGGACTCTACTTCAATGGCTAAGTGTTAGGCTCCGAAAAGCCCTGATGTGGCAGGTGCTCTGTGGACCACACTTTTTGAGAAACACTGCTTGACCTGGAGAAAGTGTAGTGCATGACAATACAAGACAGGATGACCTTTACTTTCTACTTCACAAGAGGTTATCTGTCCTCTTGTGTCGAGCCCAGATTGCAGATCCAGCCTGTCGCAACAGGTTTCCAAGGAATATTGTAAAAATTATAAATTGCGAAGGTCACCCCACCATACAGCGGCAGTTGTGAAAGCATGCCACTGCCCAGGTTCTTGCCTTCTACAGAGATGACCTTCATGGAGGAAAACTTCAGAGAAAACCTTGCTGCTCTGGGGTCTGTGTGTTCTGGGAAAAAAGGCCCCCATGGGTTAGGATGATGCCTGTTGTCATTGGCTGAAGACTAACCCCCTCAGGCATCCTTCTGCATCTTACAATTAGTGGCCCACTCTATTTTCAGAACAACCTTGTGTAGTGGATTCTTTAAATATTACCACTTGCCGGGTGAGCGCACAGGTGATTAACTTGCCCAGGACTGTACAGGAAGCAGTGAGAGCAGGATTCAAATCCATCAAATCTGTTTTTCAGGAACACAAAACTTTTCATCTGGTAAACATGGGAGTCATTATGAGAAATTCACTCCCTGTACTTCTGGGTGTGCAAATCTGCTTGCATGGTCCCTCTAGAGTAGTCCTACCTCTCCCAGGCAGACTCTGCACAGGATCCAAAGTGTCCTTGCACTCATTTGTAATACGAACGATGAGGCAAAGGTCAAGCAATTCTTGCCCATTTGTTCACACATTCTCCCCCTGCAGACATATTGATGATATTTGTTAGTGAGAATGGATGCACAGGGTGGATGCCCAGGACACAGAACCAGGGGTTGAGATTGGGGGCACACATACCAGACCTGGGCATACTTGGTCCAGCAGGAGCACTGGATGGATCCTTCAGTTCTCCATAAATGTGTCATGGAACACATTGACTCTTCAGAGATTCAAGACACAGAGGTTGCAAAGACTGAGCAAAAGACTTAGCTTGAACGTGGGGCCTCAAAAGACCAATCCTGGGGTGAGGTTCTTCTGCTTTCTGGGGGATCCTGGGCCCAGATCTGAGGGGACACGGGCCAAGGAAGACAAGAGAAGAAATCATGCAAAGTCATCTTTTGTATATTCCATGTGAAGGCTCTGACTCTTCCCGTCTTTGTCCAGTGTCAAAGTCAAGAGGGATGATCAAACCACACTATGCAGGCACCTAGCACCCCAGTGTCTGCCCCTCCTCTTAGACCTCAGCTGAGCCCCAAGGGTGCTGCATCCACAGCTGTGAGTTTCACTCCCACTCAGCGTTTCCTGGGTGGGCCCAGTATTAGGTGCTGTGTCCGGGCCTGCCCTCAGTACTCTGCTAGGGAAGGAAGGAGGAGAAAGCATACAGGACAAGGATTACACACCACAGGCTCTATGCATTCACTGACATCCTCACAGGGGCCAGAGTGGTACCAGGCATTGGCTGGCAGCCTGGAAGACTTCCTAAAGGCCAGTATGTTAAAACTGGGGGTAAAGGGCCTTGTGTGGTAGCCTAGCAGCTAATATCCTCACCTTGCATGCACTGGGATCCCATATGGGAGCCAATTTTAATCCCAGCAGCCCAACTTCCTATCCAGCTGACTGCTTGTGGCCTGGGAAAGCAGATGAGAATGACCCAAAGCCTTGGGACACTGTACCTGTTTGGGAGACCTAGATGAGGTTCCTGGCTCCTGGTTTTGGATTGGCACAGCTCCAGCCATTGCATTCATTTGGGGAGTGAATCATCGGACAGATGATCTTCCTCTCTGTCTCTCCTCTTCTCTGTGTATCTAACTTTCCAATAAAATAAATACATCTTTAAAAAAAACTGGGACAAGAAAGTATCAACCTAGCATGCTGGAGGACAGAGGGAATATGGGGCCAGGGCACAGTAAGTCAAGGGCTCAGGGACTAGAGACCAGGGGCGTTGGAGGAGTCACCCACAGGCCAGCACTACAAAGTCAAGTGGGCTTGGCCAAAGCCAAGTTGGAGAAATGGGAAGAGTCAGGTGACACTGGACCTGGGTTCCCAGTATTTGGCCTCAGTTCTGAGGACCTGAGAGGAGCACCTGAGAGACCTTGGGTGTAGAGGAGGCTTTGGAGCAGATTGCTTCAGAGATTCACCTGCTACAGGATGGATGCTAGACAATAGAGAATGATGGGGTCTATTTACTATGGCGGAAAGAGGAGAGCGGTTGACCTGGACTGGGGAGGGTGTTATGGGTGACAGAAAGAATGTGATGTATAGTAGACATTCACTTGATAGAATGAACAGGATCGAAACCAATATTGGGTGGACAGTGGGGCTTGAAGCATGAAGTACCCATGCTCTGCACCCTTGCCTGTGCCCTCCTTTGGCCCAAGTGGCTGCACTTGTCAAGGTGATATCCACTGATTTTCCATATATGCAGGTTATTCAGAAAGTTGTTGGAGGAGTGGAATTAAAAGAGAAGTTTATTTTGGTGCAAAGAATGTTGAAATCCAGGTATTATTTTTAAATAATATGCATTTTCCACAAATAAAAAATATTTGACTTATTTGAGAGGCAAAGTTATAGAGAAAGACAGAAAGAGAGAGTCTTACATCTGTTGATTTATTCCCCAGATGGGCACAAGTGCCAAAGTTGGACCAGGCCAAAGCTGGGAGTATAGAACTCCCATTCAGTATTGCCCATGTAGGTGACATGGGGACTTAAATACTTGGGCCATCTTCCACTACTTTCCCAAGTGCATTAGCAAGGAGCTGGATGGGAAGTGGAGCAAGTGGAACTTGAATTGACAGTGGGGTGGGATGCCAGCATTTGCAGGCAGTGGCTTAACCCTCCATGCCACCTCATCAACCCCTTCTATGCACTTCTGAAGACCCCTCATAAATGGCTTGTGCAAGACTTTGCCCCTGATGCAAACCTGCATGTCCCCAGGGAGAAAATGAGATTGAGAGACAAAGTGGGAAGACCCCTTGGCTGCAAGGTCAACTGCCTCTGACCCAGGAGCCCACTGGAGAGTGCCAACACCTCTCTGCAGAGACCCTGTCCCAGGCTGTGCCCGTAGTCTCTCTCAGATTAGGAAAGGCCCACTCACTGCTAGGCATGGCTCTTGGGCAACCAAGAGCCCCTCTCCTACAAAACATGGGCCTCAAGGCTTCAGTCAGCAAGGGGCCCTATGTTAGAAAGGAAACAGGATGTATGTGGCCTCCACTGAAAAAGTACTTAAAGAATTTCAAGATGGTGTACCCCATGGACAATAGTTGATACTTGGGGCTCATGGAGGCCATGAATCCAAATCCCTATGTGCAGCCAGCAGTATAGGCTGACCGAGATAGAACCTGAATAGCCATTTCTGAGCTGATTCAAAACACACACCTCTTCTGTGGGGGGTGAGGGAGGGGGGTCACAGAATTCACAAACACATTTTCCCCACCCAACATCTTTGCTGGGTTCCCCTCACAGCGGCTAGAATATTCCTCCAAGGATCACCTTCTCTGGTAGGGACTTGGCCACACTCAGCTCTATCAGCTTCTTTAGGTTGTGGTGGGGGTGACCTCACCATCCCCTGGGAGGCAGACTCAACAGCTGCCCTCTCCCCCATACACAGGGTTTT